CACCTCCGGGTGTCCATCGACGCGCACAGCATGACGGTCGTGGCAAACGACGGACATGACGTCATGCCGGTTCCGGTTCAGTCCATCATCATTTATCCCGGGGAGTCGTACGACTTTGAGGTACTCGGCAACCAACCCGACGATGTTTACTGGATTCGCGCCGAAACTCTGTGGTCGGGGAAAGGTCCTGACTTCCTTGAGAAAAATCGCACACAAGAGGTTAGGGCTATCTTGGCTTACGAAGGTGCTTCTTCCGACGAAGACCCGACAACGACGAAATCGACATGTTCCGAGGAAGACCCTTGCAGAGTGCTCAACTGTCCCTTCCCAGCATTCCCTGCGGGGAGTCACACGGTGTGCATACACATGTCGGAAGTCAACAGCACAACAGAATATTCGCCGCCAGACGATTCAGACCTCGTCGAGTATTTCTTCACATTTGGATACATCGTCGGTTCGTCGATCAACGCCCGAAAGTTTGTGGAGCCGAATGTGCCGCTAGTTTTCGGCGAGCCATTTGACGCAGTCACCTGTGACCAATCGTGTGAGACGAACGGATGTCAGTGCACGCACATGGTGGACATCCCAGCCAATAAAACTGCCCGATTTGTGATGGCTAATTTATATGACGGCAACGCGGCGGCCGAGTCTCATCATTCCATACATCTTCACGGACACGACTTTAGGGTACTCGCTATGGGGTTCCCGCTGTATAACGAAACGACCGGTCAGTACGTAACCCTATACAACCTACATGCCTTATTTGGTCAGTCAGCCGTTTAGATCATTAGTGTCTCTGTCTGTCTTTGTACACTTTCCTAGATCCTCGACAAGGTTTTGATGAATTGTCTTGATATTTAGTATTTGAGTAGGTCTTGATGAGACCTCAAAATTATTAGATTTTGGTACCCTGGCGACCTTCTATGGTACAGCACAGTGCATTTCTCTTCCCAGGTCATCGAATTTCTCCAAACACTGACATTGACTGTGGGAACGACAAGTGCAGCAATGCCAGGTGGATGAACAGGCCGACCATGAACTTCAACAGACCCCCCGTCAGGGACACAGTCGTGGTGCCTGCTAACGGATACACCGTCATTGAGTTCAGGTAAGTGGGCGGGGCATGTCGCTGTCAATCATTTTTACGTCATTGCTTCAGGTGACTGTACTGTATCAAGCAGCCAATGGGAGGCATGGGTGTATCTGCAGACTGCTTCATGATGACTTGTAGTATAGTTAAAAACTATGCACAAGCTAAATCTTGATACAACTCGCAACATGTACTGCAAAATTAAGACTTAGAGTATCCTGTACTTGGATTCCACATTCAGGACCTTCCCCCGACATTGCTCCCGACCACTCCCCGACCAAGCTTGCAAGGTAGGTCCCAAGTCCCAACCAAGATGGTCTGCAGAGGGTCTGGAGGCCATGGTGGGCTATGTGTGACAAGGGCTTTATCTTGTTACAGAAGTGACAACCCAGGGTACTGGTTTTTCCACTGTCATCAGACTACCCATTTGAATGAAGGGATGGCCATGGTCATCCACGAAGCACCGGGCAGCCACCCTCCCCTTCCACCGGACTTTCCAACGTGGAGAGACTGGGCACAGGATTCTCAGCCAAATCCTACCAGTGTAAGACACAACGCCGATTCTTATGATAGGCCTTGTTTCTCAGTACAGTTAGCGTTCTGTACTAACTGGCTTTAGCGAACACTACCCAATCGTTCATCGCACCATGTGCCAGTGCAGTAATCGCTTTATAAACACTATCAGAATGGTAGATAGCGTTTCTAAAACGACTGTTGGTCGGTCTTTTTCAGGAGCCAACCGCCGGTACCTCAGTCCAGATGAGTGTCCCAGTCTTCGCTGTCATCCTGCTAGCAGCAGTTATCGGGTCTGTCTTGATTACCTTTGCCGTGACTTTGCTGTGGAGTTCGAGACGCCGTGAGAAGGAGGCTACAGACGGACAAGGTGGCATCAAAGAAGATACCGCGTTGTAGCCGAGTAAACTACAGGGCAAATGAATTAGTCCATGCTAGGATGCACTGTAGGTAATATGTAAAAGAGAAGGGCCCCAGGGTTTACCCATAACCCATCACACTGCACATGCACACCTCGAATGACGTTCACGCTTATTGGTGTGCGTAT